CACTTGTTGAACAGAACACAAGGGAACAGGCAGATAGTGAGAACTGGTTTATTCAGAGGGCCGGCAGAATTACAGCATCAAATTTTAAAATGGCCTGTAGGACAAATTTGGCTAGGCCTTCTTTATCTGCTGTAAAAATAATTGGTTACCCTACAAAAATGTTATTTAGTACAGAAGCGACTAAATGGGGTGTAGCTTAAGAAAATAGAGCATGTAAGGATTACATAAACCACATGTATGCTGAAAAACATACTTCTTTTCAAGCTAAAAAAGTGGGAGTTATTATCAGTCAACAATGGCCTCAATTTGCTGCTTCCCCGGACATGATTGTTTATTGTGAATGTTGTTTAGGGGGCAGTGTTGAAGTAAAGTGTCCGTATATTTTAAAAAGAGACTATTTAAATTTAAAGGAATTTACACAAATTAAGAGTTCTTGCCTCGTTTATGAAAATTACTTTATTTCTTTAAAAAAAGATCATAAATATTATTTTTAAGTCCAAATTTTCATCTTCTAAGGTCAAAAAAAGTTTTTCAAGTCCAAAAAAAATGTTCATCTTCTAAGGCAGCAGGTTTTCCTAGAAATAACAATTATAACTTGTAATATACCATCACTATTAAAATAGAAATATCAACAAAGAATTTTTATTACTGACCTGTTAGAAAGTGTTTGCTACACACCCTCTGATTTTTTAATATAGACTCCGTTAAATCGTCTCTTTTTATGGCTGCCAACCAAAGAGAACGGCGTTTCTTCGACAATTCATTTTTTTTCTGTTACAAACCGGTGATTTGTAATCGTAGGGACACAATAAAAATGTAAATTGTCCCTATTCCCTCTACTTCCGCAGTTAACAACAAGACACGTTTTAGGCATGATAAACTTTCATTAACCTAGTCTCCAAATATTATGTTTTTACTAGAATTTATACACTGGCAAGTAAAATGTACTATACATATGTTAACGACTAACAATTAAGGCTCGAAATGAACTTAAAATCGCTATAAAATGTATTAAATGCAACAAATATCTTGCTTAACTACCACAAGGCAATAGGCAAATACAGCCATGTGTGCCCTCAGCGACCATATTGGATCGATTTTGACAGGTCGTTGGAATGCCTAATTATATTCTAAAGGACTGTTCGATCGCGTTAAATCGCCGCTATCGTAGTCGCCGTGGATGCTTACGTCACGCAGGGACCAGCGCTCCACAGTGCGGCGGATGGTTATTCTAGCGGGACAAAATCTCAGGAGCGATGTTTGGGACTTAAAATCTAAGAACGTAGCAAATGGTCTAATATATGGCAACCATATGGTTAGATTTATTTATTTATTAACAACTTAATTTATTAATAAATAAATAAATACAAGATAATAAAACTATGATATTATTCGTACATGACACACAAAAACCGTACTGCAAACTATTGCCAAATACATAAAATTATGATATCAGGTGAAATACTTACAAAAAACTCTTTAGCAGTTATTTTTTAATTACTTTGTAATCTTGTGACACCCTGTATATTTTATTTTAAAAAATCTATTTTGTTTTAAAAAATCTATTTTATTTTGGAAATAATAAAAAAGATAGATATTTTAATTTTAATTTTAACAGTCGGTAATTGTAAATTCATATATAGTAAGTATATAAGACAGTTTTTTAAACTTTTATTAAAACTAGTAATAATCATTTAGTTTTATTATAAATTATCAGAAAGTAAAAAAAAGCTTTAGCATATCGTCATGCTTTATTTAACTAGAACATCATTTGGATGTTTTTGTCTTGTATAGGAAAATTGCCGAACTGACTATTGGTGTCATTCATTAGCTGCCCATACACGGAAAGGTCCGGCCTTCGAACTTGGCCTTGGGCCCGGGCATTTGTTTGAGTAAAAGGCAAAGTCCGCGGATATATTTCTGCTATGGTAATTTGAGTGAAACCCCCGGCCTAAAGGCCAAGTCCGAAGGCCGGGCCTTTCCGTGTATGGGCAGCTATTAATTTTTTAAACTCAGTGCCTTTCGATGGAGTTAAGGTTTCAACAATTACAGCAGCATCCTTACTCCCACTAGCCCTAAAGCTCATAGTACTTGCAAAACCCAATTCTTCTTCTGAATGCTCTTTAATTAACCCTTTAACGAGTCTTTGTTTTGTTTTTATACCATCCGATTGAAATGAAACTTTTGGGCATTCACCTGTTAAGCTTGAACTCCCTGTGACTGTGACTACCTGTGTTGGTAACTATTGGTAACTCAAAAGATTTACATCATTCAATATATCAATATTTGAAAAAAAGTTTGATATCTGCAGAACAAAGGCACGAAGGATTTTAACTATAATATACGTACAGTAGAAAAGTACATACCTTTGGCAATCTTCAACATAATTTGGCTTTGGAATAAAATGTATAAGCACTTGTAAATATTTTGTTTTCGTATGATATCTGCCTTGCTGAGCAGAAAACGACCAAATTTGGTTGATAAAAATGTATCGAAATACAAAGAATATTCATGCATTTTTATATCATTTGGAATGTCTACTATTTATTGTTATCAGTACACATTTTTTGGCTTATTTCTATCTAAACGGTTTTGTCCCGCTAAATTTATCTTTCACCGCACTGTGCGCTCGTCCGTCAAACGCAAAAATAACTGTCACTGTCTAAAATCTTTAGCGCCAACTTCAACTCGGTCCCTAGACAACGTAAAAAAACTGACAGTGCAGGAAGATAGGAATCGAACTCTCCTTATCTCTATAGTATCCTTGAGTCTAACCGGTCTCTACAAAATGTATAAACTCTGCAGGGCAATAAGCTGTTAAATTCTATGATATGTATGTCTAGTAAAAATATATACAGGGTGGCGCACCTCATTCGCCTCGGTTGATTATACGAAAACGGAAAGATGTAGAAACAAAATATTTTATGAGTACACGTGGGGAGGCAAAGTGCACAATTTAAAATTAATTTGAAATATACAGGGTGTTTCAGAACTAAGATCCATACCAAAGTTATATTTTTTCTTATGGAACACCCAGTATTTTATTTCATTTTTGGATTCGTGAGCCCAAAAAAGGCGTTAATTATAAGGGTTAAATATGTTTAAAATCTTTAGTTTTTGAGATATTTAAAGATATTTAAATTTGCATGCTATAATAGAATAGGTTGTTAACACCCTGTGCATTACATTTCAGAATTAATTCTTGTGCTAAGTTTAAAGGTAGAGAAATAAACTTTACTGCAAAATGTTATTGCTTCCTTAAATTTATACAGGGGTATCAAAAATTACTGATCTATTTTAAGGATTTATTTTACATAAAAACTTCGTTATTTCAAATACAAAACTCTGTATTTTTTTAAATAAATCGAAGCAGATTTAAATGCTCTTTCAAACTATATTAGGGTTACCTATACCCATCTAGCTCAGATTTTGAATAAAAAACGATTTTTAAACAAAATTTCAATCAAGGTGGCTGGTGTCGCCATGGCAATTTTCTAGTGACAGTTAGTAACTATTTTTAAAGTCGACAATAGTTTATGGATTTAATTTAAAATTATTTAAATTTATAGCAGTTTACTTTTATTTAATTTATTTTCAATAGTTTAATAAGTAATATTTATTAAATATGTATTTATTATTCTACCAAGAAAAAGGAAGAAGTAGTTTTTGATTTATTTTACAATGACTTGTAGATATATGGATTTTCTTTAAAAGAGCCAATTACGGTAAATTCATTTTCTTCACTTCCAATGACAGGGGTTTCTGCCTAATAAGTTTTTTATAAACCACATTACCAGCTCTGCGATATAGGACAAGTAGTTTTTCAAAAGAACGCTTATCAGGACTCCTATTTGGATATCTTTGAGCATAAGCCCTTGAGGCCAAAAAGCAATTTTCCTCACAAAATAAAATCACTAGTAACATATCCATTCGTTCCGCCAGCAGATACTGCTTTATTTTTCTTGATAAAATAGTGAATACTTACTTATATTAAACTATTGTAGGTAAATTTAAGTAAACTGTTATAAATTACAAATAATAATGTCTATAAACTAATGTCGACTTTAAAAATAGTTACTAACTCTCACTAGAAAATTGCCATGGCGACACCAGCCACCTTGATTGCAATTTTATTTAAAAATCGCTTTTTATTCAAAATCTGAGCTAGATAGGTATAGGAAACCCTAATATAGTTTGAAAGAGCATTGGAATCTGCTTCGATTTATTTAAAAAAATATAGGGTATTGTATTTGAAATAACAAAGTTTTTATCTAAAATAAATCCTTAAAATAGATCAGCCATTTTTGATACCCCTGTATAAATTTAAGGAAGCAATACCATTTTTCAGTAAAGTTTATTTCTCTACCTTTAAACATAGCACAAGAATTAATTCTGAAATGTAATCTACAGGGTGTTAATAATCTATTCTATTGTTGCATGCATATTTAAATATTTTTAAATATCTCAAAAACCAAAGATTTTAAACATATTTAACCCTTATAATAAATGCCCTTTTTTGGGCTAAAGAATCCAAAAATGAAATAAAATACTGGGTGTTCCATAAAAAACACCCTGTATATTTCAAAATAATTTTAAATTGTGCACATTGCCTCCCCACATATACTCAAAAAATATTTTGTTTCTACATCTTTCCGTTTTCGTATAATCAACCGAGGCGAATGAGGTGCACCACCCTGTATACGGGGAAAGAACCTGATAACCACCAACCGGCCAGAAAAAAACGCTCTCTCTTGTAAAATTAGTAAAATAGCGCTAATCATGTTTTCCCCTGGACATTTCAATTAATATTATTAATTTCTTTTGTGACAATTTTAAATAATTTTATTTTATTACGATAGTTACCCCATTATAGGAGTAAATTAATTAAAACCTAATTACCCCATTACCGTGACCATTACCCCTCTCCTATATGAGCCACTGAAAGGAATAGTGACAAAAACTCATGTTAGTTGCTTTAAATTAGTGAATCAATATTTCAGAAAGTCTCAATCCCGCTGATGCTACGGATATTTATGCGAAATTCAACTTTGGCTGTGAACAAATTTGGCATTACCAGGATTATATCAAAAAGGCCAGCAGTATATTAACCAGTGAATATTTTGCCATTGGTCAGTTGATTCTTTCTGAATATGTGTTGACAATAAAAGAATCGCTAGCTGTAATTATCGAAAGCATTTTTTCGAACCTATGTGATATTCATATTACTGAAGACGCAGATATTTGTCAAACATTTGAAGATTTAAAAACTTACGCTTTAACTAAGCCCTCCACGACTGAGAGTCTAATCGAACAAGGTACTATAACATTCTTTTTACTTACCACAAACCCCCAACCTTAAGCAGTAAAATTTATAAATTATATTATATGTAATGGCTGGCCAACTAAGAATGAAAACCGGCTGTACTAGGATTTTTTTCGTAAATATTCACTTGAAGAGGTATTTTAAATATTGTTATTGCTAATTTTTGTGCTATGGTGTATTTTTCCCTATTTCATAAAATAAAGTGGGGGGGGGGAAGCTTTAACTTGCTCTTATTAAAATAAGGATAACTCTGGTTCAGGGTAATGAAATTAAACAAACTGAAGCTTGTTTAAAAGATCTTATTTTCCTTAGTAATCCGCAGTATAAAGTTTGACTCCATCGATCTTGTTTTGTTAACGAAAGGGCATCATAACAAATATTACGCGTTTGCATAGCATTTATTTTGCTAAAGCATTTCAATTATTTCTCAAACACAATTTTTTCAACAAACAACAGCAATTTTTCAACAGACAAAAATTTCATTTCATTTTGCATAGATTTAAGAAAGAACAACATTTTCAAAAAGTCAGCGCATACCATAACTACTTTGTAACTTCTAATGAATTTGTTGGAGCATTCCAAAGAATACGTCTTTTAACAAAACTGGCAATTCTTCTCTGATAAATTATAGATTGTTTATTCCACTCAATTGATTAAAATAGAGTGGTTATATATAAAATATATAGATAAATGTTATGCTGCAGATTATTAAGAAGAGAAGCTCTTTTATACAAGCGATTGTTTGATTATTCCCTTGAGTCAATCTAGAGTTATTTTGATTTAAATAAAAGCTACGAAATCCCCCCTACAGGTGGCATTTTTGTTTAAATCCAGCTAAGTGCAGCAACGTATATTTATAAATATTATATTTACTAAGAGCAATAATGCTATAACTGAAAGCGTTCTGACAAGGAGGCTTTATTTGAATTTGCGTTGTTCTCTGTTTTGATGTACTCTGGTAACCTGACAACGTGGCGACGTGCTAGTTTGCGTGTTCTTTTTTGTTATAAATCTCGACTTGGTATTGAGACCATTAACCTTTATTTATAATTATTGAACTTCAACCTTACGGCGCGGCGTGCTAAGTTTGGTTGTGCGTGTGTTTACTATATTCAGTTTATTTGCCTAATCTCTTTTCCGTTACGCTGTCATTGATGAGTTTAAGTGTGATTCCTGTCAGAAGGTCGTCTCGGAAAAGGACAAATATAAACTTTGTTGTAATGGAGAATGTCGCCGGAACTTTTGCATGTCCTGTACTGGGTTAGATAAAACAACAACAAAAATACTCTGCCAACACAAGTTCAACAATATCAGATTTTCCTGCAACATCTGTGACTCACCCACGTTAAAATATCTTCATGACAAAGTAACTCAAGTTCAAAAATCGCAAGCCTCTCTAGACACTGTCGAAGCTCTGGGAACCTGTCTAAAGAAGAACAATGATCTCCTTCCGGTCATTAGTGAGATGTATGATATTTTGAGTTACCATGACTCCAAGTGGAAGAGCTTGTACAAGAAAGTGGATGACATTCACAGCCTCCATACCAGTTTGTCCGATGGTAGACAATAATCTTTATTCCATTCCATCAGGGTTATGAAGCAAGATATTTTCAACTCAATGTCTATTTTACTGGACAATCATGATGAGTCTATTAAGGTCCAAATTCATGACTCATCAAAGGAAGACTTATCAAAGGAGTTGGGTGATTTGCATTTGAGTGTAAATAAAATGGCATTCATGCTGGAAAAGTTGGCCTCCGTGAAAAGACATCCAAGAGCATTCCTCCAAAGAATATTAAAAGTAACCCACAAATTGAAAAAAAGTCTAGTTCGACGCAGATTGACCATTCAGATAACAAGCATACGCATAAGTCATATCTTGGCAACAGAAGGCAGCTTGTGAAGATTAATACGTCTATGTCTTCTTGTAAGCCTATACAATGTGGCGTCCGTCAGGGTTCAGTACTTGGTCCTATTTTGTTTCTGGTGTTTATCAACGACATTGCAAATCTAGATATTAGCGGTAACATCTGCCTTTTGGCGGACGTTACTAGTTTCACTTGGAGCGGCCCAGATGTTACGGCACTATATGATACTATATCCAGTGACTTACGCACCATTAAATCTTGGTGCGATTCTAATCTCCTATGTCTCAACCTATCAAAAACTAAAGTTTTGTCATATAAAAGTACTATACAACCTTTTGTACTTAATAACACCTCTATTGACGTCGTGGACTCTGTGAAATTCTTAGGACTTGTTGTAGACAACTCGTTAAAATGGGACTTTCACATCTAAGCTCTATCAAAGAAACTAAGCGCTGCCTGTTTTGCGCTAAGATCAGTTTCTAAGGAACTTAACTTATCAATCTCTATTACTACCTATTATGCCGTTTTTGAGTCACATCTTCGTTATGCCCTTCCATTCTTGGGTACTTGCTGCGCAACACAATTTGATCGTATTTTCAGACTTCAAAAGAGAGCAGTTCGATATTTATTGGGACTGAACAGTAGAACTCACTGCCAGAGTTTCTTTAAAAAATTCAAAAACTGACTGACTTTATTCATTTTTGAATCCGTTTGCTTAATCCGCAAGCACATATCTGCTATTCCCGAAAGGCCATCTCATAACTATCCATTTAGGAATGCGGAGCACGATCTATTGCTTTTTTCGGGTTCTTGTTATTACCGATTTTGAACCGACCTAGAACTGTGATGCGTATGGGCAGAAGGAAATATGAAGACATTATTTCATTTGCGCATGCGCTGCAGAGTTCTAGGACGGTTCAGAATCGGGAATAACAAGAACCCGAAAAGACCTTTTATCTGCCAACCCCGAGCTCAGAACTAGTTAAAGGTTCAATACTGTACAATGCCAAAAAATGTACAATCATCTGCCTTTGAATATCAAGTCGCTTTCATTCTTTCCCGCATTTCGCAAAGCTCCAAAATCATACTTACTGGAGAGAGCCCTATATGCGATAAACGACTTTTTTGTTGATGTTTAATTATGAAAAATTTTGAATTTTAAAATTTTGATCATCTCACACACTGGTCAAAGGTCAAGTATTTAATATTTTATAACTCTTAAAATTATATCTATTTACTGCTTACTGTTCTTCAATTGTTCATGTATGTTCTTTTTGTAATTTGAATGACTTAATTTTTTTTGAACTGTATGATTTGTATTGTGTATTTTTTGTTATTTAAATATTTTTTTGTGCTTTTGTTTGTTTTGTGAGTGCTTTGTCGATGAAGCTGTTTTGGCTTTTTGCACAATAAAGCGTTGTTTGTTTGTTTGAAAATATAAGCAATATCCTCTTTTTCAAAACCACTTAAGATATATTTGTTGTGATTGCGTCAACCTAGATTTTTTAATAGTTGTTCCAATTTATCTTGCATTATTTTAAAACAATGCAATTAGCACTTGTACTACCTTTCATCAGTTTCATCTGAGCCCCTCAATTGCAAATATTCCATTAATTGCAATAGATATTTTTGAGAAAAAACTCGATTTCTTTTTGTCCACAACAGAAGCCCCCCCTAGCGGAAATTCTTTGAACTTGACGATAATTTAGAAATTTTTTTGACGAGTTATACGATAAGTAGTTTCTGAGATACAGCTGGCGTTCATTCTTTGTTGGCTACCCGATACCCTTCCCTATTATACTTATGTTCGAAAACGATATGCTTGTCTTGGAAGATGTATATCAGGGCCAGTCAACTGATATTATAGAGACCTTAAACGATCTATTAATTATAACTATATACTCCTATCATGAATATTTAAAAGCATCAGTATACCACGTTATGGTATGGTCTTATACATGCTGAGAAAACGTTTCTCTCGTCAAATCCTTTTTATTGCTCAATACTACAGTGAGGTATTTCTCACAGTCCTAAATTCTTGATATTTCATCTACTGGGAGTTGGAGGAGTGGAATTTTATTTTTGAGGGTGTTCCAAGCCCCTGACATGAAAATTCTCCCAGTCCTGTTTCCATCAACCAATGACCATTCTAATCATTGTCGCATTGGAATAACTACCGACGACAATATGCAGTGGTGTTAGGTCTAGTATGATCTCCTTTGCTTCTGTTGGGTATGTTCTCATGGCACCTGTGATGCTGATGCAAGCAAATCCCTCTACGTTTTAAGCTTAAAGTATCACAACACTATTTATTTGAACCAAAAACTCCTAATATAAAACTAGTGTCAGAACGAATGACAACGTCAGGAAATAAATAAATAAATGCGGCAACTTGACATTTCTTACAGCAGAGCTACCACCTGAATCCCCAGCGGGAAATTTAAATTCCAGTTAGTCAGCCCGGCGCCGAATATGTCCATGGTTGGCAACAATGAATTTAAAAATCTCGCCCTCGATTACGTAACTAAAAGTTTAATTGATAAAAATGGAGTAACGTAATGCTTGCTACTATTTATAGAATTTGAAAATCAATTCAATACTAAGATATTTTAGTTTTCTTTATGTTCCTGTAATTCATTAATTTATAGGAAAATATATGATTTGGGCAAAAACCGTTCTTATTCATCAACTCAGAGAAAGAATTGAGCTCATGCTTACCAATTTAACGAACCTCGTCGAATTTGGAACTATTACCAAAGAACATTTAGAATTAAATGCTGAGACTGTACATTGGTTGATAAATATAGAACCTATCCTTGAAATTAATTCCAGTATGTACGAACAAATTAAATTCGAATACGAGGAGAGATTACAAAGTACAATCAGATATGTAGATACGACAATAGAGAAACTGATACCTATGCTAGGTAAGTAATTTTCTATCCCTAATATCTTAACATTTGTCTTTAGAGGTCAGTTTAGCTCAGTGGTAAGTTTTAATACGCTCGGCTGCACACTTCGAAAAAAATATGGTTTTTGTTGTAGAACTAATTTTTGGAACCTTATTGAACATATTACAAACAGCTAGTGTTTCCATATTTTTAAATCGTTAATAACTGTCGACAGATATTAAAATTTCAAAATTTATGTTTCTAGAAATTATAACTTTTTAAAGATACGATAATCACAATAAATTGTGTTGTTTCTAGAGTATAATATGTTATATATTTCAGCATATTTCTTATATTTTAATGTGTTTATTCTAAAACTCACTTAAAAAATGAAAACTTCATAAGTTTCGTAGTGCGAGTTATGCCTGTGTTTCTCTGACTTTATTGTCGACAAAGGTATATTGAGATGTTTACTACAAACGATTCTATCGTTAGAGTACGAAGGACTAACAATTATTCAGCTTTTAAACAGCCTCTACACTCTTCTCGAAATGTCACAGGTCAGGAACAATCTGTATATTCATAAATCATATGATCGGTCTTGCTATGAGCTTCTCAAAAATATTTTTAATTTACTCAGTTTTCGCCTCCTCGATACCTTTCATAATAACGAGAGAATAAAGATACGGAGGGGCGTCCCAAATTGCAAAATTTTCAAAAACACTCGAGGGCAATAAAAAAAATGGTAAAAGTGAACTCCCCACTTCACTTTCATCAAGTTATTCTCCTCGCCGAATTTGCTCGGGATTGGACGATATCAACTTTTGACGGTTCGTACGTAAAAATTTCTATCGTAATCGGATAAGTTATGAACATAGGCAAGTTTGTCATTTCTTTGTCATCATTAACGTATCATACGAATTTCTATTCCAATTAGATTATAATGTAGCTCAGAAACGAAGAAGGCTAAGAAAATTTTGTTTACAGCATTTTTCGTTTGACAAAAAAGTGGGACAGGTTGGTACAAACCGCACCCTTCTATCTTCACTAATAACGGAGATGCCGTATGATTTCAACTAAAATGGGAAACCCTGTACAGGTGTGCCAAAAAGGTGAAAGTTTCTTTTTGAAAAGATTTTAGTGGAAAAATACGCAAATTTGTTGAAAAAGTAAATATCTTGAAAACCGAAAATAGTTAAAAGAGATATATGAACTATATAAGAAATCTTTAGATCAAAAAATCGTTGGCGTTATTCTCTGGGTTGTTTTCAATTATTCCCGAAACGATTCCGCTTTTCTTCAGTAGGATATTTTCTATCGTGACGAGCACAAATTTGGCGAGGATAATAAAATGGTGAAATTGAACTCCCCACTTCACTTTCACTAATTCATTCTCCTTGCCGAATTTGCTCGTAATTGGACGATATCAACTTTTGACGCTTCATACGTGAAAATGGCTATGATAATCGGATAAGTTATGAATACAGGCAAGTTTGTCATTTCTTTGTCATCATTAAACGTATCACCATACGAATTTCTATTCCAGTTAGATTATAACGTAGCTCAGAAACGAAGAAGGCTAAGAAAATAATCGGATAAGTTATGAACACAGGCAAGTTTGTCATTATTAAACGTATCACCATACGAATTTCTATTCCAATTAGATATAATGGATCTATATAATGGAGCTCAGAAACGAAGAAGGCTAAGAAAATTTTGTTTACAGCATTTTCCGTTTGACAAAAAAGTGGGACATGTTGGTGCAAACTGCACCCTCTTCTATAATCAATAACGAAGATATTGTATGATTTCAACTAAAATGAGACACCCTGTACAGGTGTGCCAAAACGGTGAACGTTTCTTTTTGAAAAGACTTTAGTGGAAAAATTCGTTGAAAAAGCAAATATCTTGAAAACCTAAAATAGTGAAGAGAGAAATGTTTGTTTTATACGATAATTAGGTTAGTAACTATATAAGAAATCTTTAGATCAAAATATCGTTGGCGTTATTCTCTGGGTTGTTTTCAATTATTCTCGAAACGATTCCGCTTTTCTTCAGTAGGATATTTTCCATCGAGCCCTGATGACAAGCACAAATTTGGCGAGGATAATAAAATGGTGATCCTGAACTACCCACTTCATTTTCACCAATTTATTCTTGTCGATTTTGCTATGGATTGAACGATATCAACCTTTGACGCGTCACACGTAAAAATGACTATCATAATCGGATAAGTTATGAACACAGGCAAGTTTGTCATTTCTTTGTTATAATTACCGTATCACCATACGAATTTCTATTCCAATTAGATTATAATGTGTAGCTCAGAAACGAAGAAGGCTAAGAAAGTTTTGTTTGCAGCATTTTCCGTTTGACAAAAAAGTGGGACAGGTTGGTACAAACCACACCCTTCTTCTTCAACTAAAATGGGACACCCTGTACAGTTGTGCCAAAAAGGTGAAAGTTTCTTTTTGAAAACATCGATTATTAGGTAAAATAGAGGACGTACCGCAAAAAAATAAATACAAAAGTTGTGGTTTTTAAATATCTATTAGCGAGTAATAAATTTAAGTATACAGGGTAGTTCATTAAGTCGTGGCACATTAAAGTTTCATTTTTTTAAATAGAACCCCCTGTATATTATTACATATTTTAATTCTAAGCAAGAATCGAAATACACACAATGTACTTTAAACCAACCGTTTTCGAGTTATTGATTTAATGATGCCATTCTGCCGAAACTGCGATACTGTTGTAGTGGGTTTTTAAATTCCTATTAGCTACTAGTAAATTTAAGTATACAGGGTAGGTCATAAATTTGTGTCACATCAAACTTTATTTTTTTAAATGAAACTCCCTGTATATTATTGAATATTCCAATTCTTTCTTCAATTTTAAGCAATAATCGTGATACAGAATGTACATAAATTGAAGAATTAAAATGTTAAACGAAAATTTTGTAATTTCCAGACTTGATATACTCTCATTTTATATATGTATCTATAAATGCAAACTTGAGAATTAATGTCAAATATTATTAAATATCACAGTTTTGGCAGAATGGCATCGTTAAATGAAACTGAACATATCAAAATTAATTAAATCAAATTGTTTAATTGATATTTTCAAAAGTCAATAACTCGGAAACGGTTGGTTTGAGCTAAATTGTATGTATTGCAATTTTTGTTTAGAATTGAAGGAAGAACCGAAATATGCAATAATATACAGGGGGTTCCAATTAAAAAAATAAAACTTTGGTGTGCCACGATTTTATGGCCGACCCTGTATACTTAAATTTATTACCCGCTAATAGATATTTATAAACCCTATAACTTTTATATTTAACTTTTTGCGATAACTTCTATATTTTACCTAACAATCCATACATAACAGCGATCCTGTATGTTTTATATGATAATTAGGTACAACTAAGAAATCTTTAGATCAAAATATCGTTGGCGTTATTCTCTGGGTTGTTCTCAATTATTCCCGAAGCAAATCCACTTTTCTTCAGTAGGATATTTTCCATTGAGCCCTGATGACGAGCACAAATTGGCGAGGATAATAAAATGGTGAAAGTGAACTCCCCACTTCATTTTTACCAATTTATTCTCTTTGTCGAATTTGCTCGGGATTGGACTATATCAACTTTTGACACTTCATACGTAAAAATGAGAATCATAATCGGATAAGTTATGAACACAGGCAAGTTTGTCAGTTCTTTGTCATCATTATACGTATCACCATACGAATTTATATTCCAATTAGATTGTAGTGACAGTATTTTAGTATATAAATATATCAAAAACAAACGAAAGATCATTTGCACAATAACTATACCTGGTGCGTCTCAAAATGGCTCATCTCTATAACTTTTTATTTTTTTCAGATAAAAAAACGAGATTTGTTATGTTAGTATATGACATAAATTAGGATTGATTGGACGTATTCGATTGTTTTTGGTCACTTCCTGTTTCACCGGAAATGCCTACAACTTTTGATTTTTAAATGACACCCTCGGTATTTTTTACTCTATTTGATAGAAGTAGTAATACAATGGTGCTGCTATGACACTTTTACAACGGTGCTGCTATGACACCTTATGGATTCAAAAAGATGTTAAAGATGGCGGCTATTTCCAAGATGTTAAAGATGGTGGCCATTTCCTGACCTATCCAGATTCGGATTGGTTTGGTTTGGTTTGGCCAGTGTTGCCAAATTTATATTTTTTCTATTTTTTAATATTTTTGTTTTGCCCCAGGGTTTTTTTTGGGGGGAGGCCTGTGCCAAAAAAAGTGTAAAGAATGGGCCTGCGCAATGCATCCTAACCAATTCCACCAAAAAATATACATAAATAATAATAAAAAAGTAAACATATTATTATAACAATATTATTTGTGCACCCCGTATATCGAATATAATCTTATGCAAGGCGCCCCGCCCCGCCCAGCCCAGCCCAGCCGTTAAAAGTCACAGTTCATTTAATGTAGTAATAATACAATGGTGTTGCTATGACACTTTTACAACGGTGCTGCTATGACACCTTATGGATTCAAAAAGATGTTAAAGATGGCGGCTATTTCCAAGATGTTAAAGATGGTGGCCATTTCCTGACCTATCCAGATTCGGATTGGTTTGGTTTGGTTTGGCCAGTGTTGCCAAATTTATATTTTTTCTATTTTTTAATATTTTTGTTTTGCCCCAGGGTTTTTTTTTGGGGGGAGGCCTGTGCCAAAAAAAGTGTAAACAATGGGCTTGCGCAATGCATCCTAACCAATTCCACCAAAAAATATACATAAATAATAATAAAAAAGTAAACATATTATTATAACAATATTATTTGTGCACCCCGTATATCGAATATAATCTTATGCAAGGCGCCCCGCCCCGCCCAGCCCGGCCCAGCCGTTAAAAGTCACAGTTCATTTAATGTAGTAGTAATACAATGGTGTTGCTATGACACTTTTACAACGGTGCTGCTATGACACCTTATGGATTCAAAAAGATGTTAAAGATGGCGGCTATTTCCAAGATGT